TAAAAATAACTAAACTTCGAAGAAATAATTATCCCCCCAACAAACCAGACAGAAATACAGAGAATAAAATTATGCCAGGAAACAGGAGAACCAATTCTACTCTTCAATATCTACCACCCCCCAGATAAACCAGGACCAGAACTTCAACAAATTATACACCTTCTAACAGACAAAACAATCCTTTTAGGAGACTTCAACTCCAAACACCCCACCTGGGGTTGCAATGAGACAAACAACTGTGGAGAAGCACTAAATAACTACCTGGACAACACTGATCTCCTTTGCATATCTGAGGGACCTACCTACGTATCTAACTCCTATGGTACTCCCCAAACTCTGGACTTGGTGATAACTACTCCACAACTAGCCCATCAGACCCTCACCTAAGTCTTAGAGGGAGTAGGGAGCGACCATCTCTCCCTGCTTACGACAACAGCGACTGAAATAAAGAAGGAAGCACTGCCCAAGAAACTTTATTGGAATTACAGAAAGGCAGATTGGACTAAATTTAGAGAAGAATCCAACCTCACACAAAAAAAAAAAAAACGAATGGCAAACAACAATTAAATAGTAAATGGGGAAAATGGAAAACGACAGTATTCAAAGCAGCCAAGAAAACCATCCCCAGAGGAAACAGAAAGCAATACATCCCAGGATATATTGAAACAATTAACAGCCTACAGAATGAAATAACTCAAAAGAAATCAGGCCCAATAACACCTCATGGAAAACAATGAACTTGAAAATAAAATAAACCTCAGCAAACTTTCGGCCCAAGTGTGACAGAAAGCAAACCAACTAAAACAGAGGAAGTGGAGGAATATCTGTAGCAACCTAGGCCCACATACAAGAGATACGAAACTCTGGAAATTAATTAGATCTATAAACCAAGAAACTCCATACTCAACAACCTCAAATACCTTCACAGACAAAGATGGCAACGTACTCGCAGAACGAACCCAAATATCAAACCTCTTTTCTGATTACTATACACAAATCTCCAAACTAAACTTTACGAGGCAAGATAAGAAAATACTTCAGATATCAAAAAAGATAAGAAACGAGGCCAAAACAACATATCACTAAGACTTATTCCACAAGCCATTTTTATCTCATGAATTAAAAGAAGCTATAAATAGATTAGATGATAACAAAACCCCAGGTTCAGACATCATATCAGCCAAAATGATAAAACACCTAGAAACAAACGTGATTTTAGAGCTCCTTCACATAATTAATCTAAGCTAGTCAAGCAGCACCTTACCTAAAGAATGAAATCATGCAATCATAATCCCCATCCATAAAGCAGGAAAAACAGAAAACCACCCACAGAGTTATAGACCAATATCACTAACCTCCATACCATGCAAACTCATGGAGCACATGATACTAAATAGAATGCAATACTTCCTGAACAAAAACAAGTTACTTTGCAAAACAGCAGGCAGCTTTCAAAAAAATGTCATAACACAGTAGACCAGATTTCTACTTCACACAGAAAATTCAAGACAACTTCCAAAGTAAACCAACCAAGTCTACCATAGCCGCTTTCATAGACTTAAGCCAGGCTTTTGATAGAGTGTGGAAAGAAAGGTTAATCAAGAAGCTGGACAAACTAGGTATAAGGGGGAAGATGATGGGGTGGATTGGATCCTTTCTGACCGGAAGTACCTTCCAGGTTAACTTCAAAGAGCAACTATCAAAAACTGGCAGGCTCTTCCAGGGACTCCCTCAGGGATCCATACTAAGCCCCTACTATTCTCAATCTATCTGAATGACATGGACTCTAGAATCACAAAATACTGCGACTTTTCTATCTATGCCGATGACATAATCATCTGGTCCTCAAAGAGAGATCTAAAGGAAGCAAACAAAAATGTAAACAAGGCGCTGAAAGAACTCCAACACTTTGCGAAAAAAATGAAATTAATTATAAACCTAATAAATCCGAAGTAGGAGTATTTACAATAAACAACCACCTTAATATCAAATATCAAATATGACAACAATCAAATAAAATTTTCTCGGACACCCAAATACCTAGGAGTCACTTTAGACCCCTCACTGACCTATGGACCTCATATCAACCAGACGGTGTTAAGAGCAAAAAAGAGACTTAATATTCTGAAAATAATATCTGGATATGAATGGGGCGCAGATAGGGATACTCTGCGCAAAACATATCTGGCCCTTATCAGACCAATCTTAGAATATGCCCAACCAGTGTGGCAGATGGCGAGCAAGACCAACCTGAATAAAACCAATCAGATACAGAGTAGTGCTGCAAGAATCATATGTGGACTCAGAAACACCTGTCCAACCAAAATTGCAGAGATTGAGGCCAACTTGTTGCCTCTTACACACAGGAGAAAAATCGGCTTAGCCGATTATATATACAAGAGAGTAAATGCACCAAAATCACACAGAACCGGAGAATTCATACGAAAATGGAAACCAAAAACCAGACTCAAAACCTAGCCTACCGGGAACTACTACCAAACAAGACAAGAAATAGAAATGCCCAGAACCAATATGCACTATATAAAGAAAGACCAGAAATCTCCTATAACCTGGATCTTGAGCAAGAATGCTCCAAAGGGGCCGACCACCCCGGATTACTCAGGAGCCTCGCCATGGAGAGGATTGAAAAAGCAGACAAAGAGACCATACAGTATACACCGATGGCTCACTGGTGGAGAATGGTTCCTCTGGCAGTGGAGTTTTCATCCTTAAAGATAGTATGGAAATAAAAAGAAGAATCAAAAACCCAAAGAACTTGTCAGTTTTCAGATCCGAACTAACAGCCATACTACAAGCTCTAAAACTCGTAGAGAAAAACGAGACCAAAAACATAATAATTTATACAGATTCAAAAGCCGCCATCTTTTCAATTAAAAACTGCTACTACTCACAAGACAGACTCTTCAAAAACCTTTCTGTAGAAATCAACAAACTAAATAAAAATACCAATACTTGAACTTCTTTATGAGCACGACCTCCAAGATCTTGTCTAATTTAGACTAAAAGGATAAGTTTAAAAAAAAAAGTTTCTTCTTTGTGACTTCTTGGCCTTTCTTTGGTAAATCGAGGCTAATATTTTTATATGCATTCATGATCATTCATTTGTAAATATTGATGACCATTATATTCAAAATGATTTCGTGACCATTCTTCGTAAAAAATAATTTGCTGCAATTTATTTGTAAAGCTATTCGAGATATTTAAAAAGTGGATAATTCTTTTTTTTTTTCAATGAACTTATATATATGTTAAATTCGTTATCATTCCGCACTTCTGTAAATAAATTCGTGGCCATCCTTTAGTAAATGAATTCGTGGTCATCCTTTAGTGATTAAATTCGTGGCCATCCTTCAGTAAATGAATTCGTGGCCATCCTTTAGTAAATAAATTCGTTACCTTCCTTTAGTAAATAAATTCGTGGCCATCCTTTAGTAAATGAATTCGTGGCCACCCTTCAGTAAATGAATTCGTGGCCATCCTTTAGTAAATGAATTCATAGCCATCCTTTAGTAAATAAATTCGTGGCCTTCCTTTAGTAAATGAATCCATAGCAATCCTTTAGTGAATTAATTCGTGGCCATCTTTTAGTAAATGAATTCGTGGCCATCCTTCAGTAAATGAATTCGTGGCCATCCTTTAGTAAATGAATTCGTGGCGCCATCATTTAGTAAATGAATTCGTGGTCATCATTTAGTAAATAAATTCGTGGCCATCCTTTAGTAAATGAATTCGTGGCCATCCTTTAGTAAATGAATTTGTGGCCATCCTTTAGTAAATGAATTCGTGGCCATCCTTCAGTAAATGAATTCGTGGCCATCCTTTAGTGAATGAATTCGTGGAGTCATCATTTAGTAAATGAATTCGTGGCGCCATCTTTTAGTAAATTAATTCATATTCATCCTTTAGTAAATGGATTCGTGGACATCCTTTAGTAAACTAATTCGTGAAAATCCTTTAGTAAATGAATCCATAGACTTCCTTTAGTAATTATTTTCGTGGCCATCTTCTAATTAAAAGTGTCATGACTTATTTCTTAGCGGGTAATTGAATTTCTGACCATTTTACAAATGGTAGATTCGTGCCATTGTTATGAATAAATCTTAATATATTCACTAAAATATATATTTAAATAAATTTCTATATATATATTAATCAGTCAAATCTATTGAATCCAATTCTGGAGTAAATAGTTTCAACGTCTTTCTGGTAATCTTGGTCATTTTGGGTAAGGTTTTAGTCTATATTCTCTCTTGTAATGTTAGAAACTGATTATTGACACGAATGGCCTTATGGAGATTTATGGCTTTCTACAAGAATGTAGACATGTTGTATACACTTCAATACAAGTAGTTGTAATCTCCGTTATCTACCATGATCACCAGAGTTATGCACTAGGTCTACTATTTTAAAGACACTTCCATGAAAATTTTATAGTCACTAAATTTGACACATCACACGGAAAATTCCAGAAATACTTACATAAAAGAGGTCTATCAGAAACACCAAATTGTTCCTGCGGAGAAACTGAACAAACTGATCTTCGTCTCATCTACGACTGTCCGAACTTTACGGAAATTAGACAGAGTTTGGTCCCTGATCTAAATGATTTAACTCTCTTACATCAAAAAGCCACACTTTTTCTATATAAATTTTATGAACTCTGTCGATTAATACATGTAAATTTGTAAATATTTAATTTTAAGTTTTAATTTGTTTGTTGTTTTGTTTGTTTCCTCTGTAATAGGCGCAAATATTTCAATATCGCTCCTGGTTGATTGATAAATCATTTTTGAAAAAGTCTACTATTTTGAATTAAGTTTGAGAGGATTTTTCAAATATAAATTTTATATATAAAGTGATATATTTATTATTATTTAATTTTAAATATATATTTTAAGAACAACTCTCCCTAGTCGGCTATCAGATGGCGTGGCTTTACGCTATAAATCCCTTGCTGTTCTTTTCTTGGCCGCTCACCTGCCGTGATCGTCTATCTGTTAGGACACTGCGTTGTGGCCGTAATAACCCAGGTTCGAATCCTGATAACGGCACCTTTTTTTGCTTGTTACCTCCATTTTCAGGCTTAAAAATCTTACACTTTGGTTAGTAGCCCGTAAAACCATATTCTCTCTTTTTACTTTGGCCGACTCAAATCTTTCTGTAGATATGTAAATATGCAATCTTTATTTTCTTTATTCTTCACGTCTCAAATCAGGTATTTCATTCTCAATTATTTTATCTCAGCGCGATTATATCAAATTGTGATTTTAATATATATTTTTTAATTATATTTTCCGAGATGACACGACTGCAAACCATTTGCAAAATATTCATTGAATTCAAAACCAGCATATAATTTTTCAGATGAATTTTATAACATATATATATATGTTTCATAATATTTGTTTATATATAAGGTTTCATTATATAATATGTTTCATATATATATATGAAAAAATAGTACAAATGTGATAGTGTACTGGGATAAGGTGCATAATTATGAAAAAAAGGCATCTCCTTATCGTGCAACTGAAAGTTGCTGATGGCTTGCGCCATCTATCGGAATAAATATCAACTATTCTCGTTGATTTTTAATTATTCCAGAATTGGCTAAATACCCATTCTTGATTAATCAATAAAAGCTAACCACGGACGCCTTTCGGGCTGTTGACCCTCATCAGCGTGGTGCAAGCTGTACCTCAATGACCAACGATTATTTGTACTATTTTTTTTCACATTGTTGCGCGGTCTCACGCAATTCTGGCCTTAACTACCCGTTTCATGATTTTTCAGGATGCCTTGAATGACCAGTTTTTTGGTCGTTGAGGTACAGCTTGCACCACGCTGATGAGGGCCAACAGCCCGAAACGCGTCCGTGGTTAGCTTTTCTTGATTAATCAAGAATGGGTATATGGCCAATTCTGGAATAATTAAAAATCAACGAGAATAGTTGATATTTATTCCGATAGATGGCGCAAGCCATCAGCAACTTTCAGTTGCACGATAAGGAGATGCCTTTTTTCATATATATATATATATGAAAAAATAGTACAAATGTGATATTGTACTGGGATAAGGTGCATAATTATGAAAAAAGGCATCTCCTTATCGTGCAACTGAAAGTTTCTGATGGCTTGCGCCATCTACCGGAATAAATATCAACTATTCTCGTTGATTTTTAATTATTCCAGAATTGGCCAAATACCCATTCGTGATTAATCAAGAAAAGCTAACCACGGACGCGTTTTGGGCTGTTGGCCCTCATCAGCGTGGCGCAAGCTGTACCTCAACAAGAGAAAATATGGTTTTACGGGCTACTAACCAAAAGTTATGATTTTTGAGCCCAAGCGCGATGTCAGGTGGCAAGGGACCCTAGGATCTGGCTGCAGGAGATGTGTCGCAGGGGTAGTGGAAACGTTGGGCAAGCAGGGGAACAGCGCCAAGGTGCAGTGAGGCAGGAGCATTGAATTGGTCAGGAATCCAGTAGAAGTGGCAGATGGAATTGGAGGCAGAAGGTCCTTGAAGCCTAGAACTTGAGGGCCCTAGACTTCAGGATGGGGCAGCTTGAGGCTCTCGCCTCGTGCTTGTCAGGAAGGCCCTTGGAGCAGCAGTTGGCACATTTGGAGGTGCGCTGGTCAGCAATGGATTGGCAGGCGCGGCCTTCATGGCCGTCTTGACCGCAGTGGAAGCACTTAGGAGCTCTGGAGCATTGGGCAGAGTTGTGGCCGAAGCCACAACAGCGGAAGCAGACGCGGGCGCGGATGGACTCCTCGAAGTTGAGGATTACTCCATCAACCACGATTCTCCCGCGAACGCCCAGGGCTCTAAAGGTCTTGAGGTCCACCTCGATGAAGGCGGTGCAGGTCCCGCTTCTGGGTGCAGAACGGTGCGCCACGCGCACCACCTTGTCCCCAAGAAGCTTTCTAACAGCAGCGGTTTCCAGGAAGGTCTCCTCAATTGTGGAGTTGGATGTCTCCTCATCCACTTTGAAGAGGCAGATCCGTGGCAGGATCTCCTTCTGCTGGCGGACCTTCATTCCATTCAACTTGCTGGCCAGGGAGGTTGTCACCTCAGGGATGGTGTCAGGATTACTGGAGTGGAGGACCAGCTTCCCCTTGGTGTGTAGGGAGGCCCAAACGCCTTGGGGGAGAGTGTGGGCAGCGCGGACAGCTTTTAGCATCTCCCTTGGGTCAGCCTGTGGGTCATCAGAGATGACCACTGTGTGGGCCGCCGATTTTTCTCCATGGAGGATCACTTGGGCGGCCGCAGGCTTGGATAGGCGGGAAGGCGCAGGTTTTGAAGGACCATTCAGGTTTGTCCTCTTTGCAGGCGGGTTGGGAGCCTCAGACTGCTTCCTTTTGGTTGGAGCAGGAGCAGGCAAGGTGGAGGCAGGCTTCTTGGCAGGGAGAGCAGCAGGAGCAGGAGTGGCGGGCTTGATTGGGTCAGTCTGGGAGCTGGTTTCCTTGCAGGAAGGAGCAGGGCAGGTTTGAGTGCCGCGGCAAGCAGTCTTGGGCTTGTTGGCCTCCTCAATTTCGTCCAACTCTGCGAAGGACTCGAGGGTGTCAGTGAGGTTCTCTACATTGGTAGCGAGGGCTTTGATCATTTCAGTCCGCGAGGCGATGTAGCGGATCAGGTCCTCATGCAAGGATTTCAGGGCAGGATGGCCAATGGAGCTCAGGATGCTGCAGTTGCGTGAGATCACCATCTCATCTTCCCTCTCCAGGTCGGCGACGTTCACGATGGGCTTGTAGGCCTTCTTTTTCTTCTTGGCAGGATTCATGTATGTCACAAAAAAATAATGCCCCCAAAATTGACCAACGACCAACAGGGAAGAACTGGCCAAAGGGGAAGAGAGAAAATATCTTTTATGTACCTCAACAACCAAAAAACTTGTCATTCAAGGCATCCTGAAAAATCATGAAACGGGTATTTAAGGCCAGAATTGCGTTAGACCGCGACACAATGTGAAAAAACAGTACAAATGTGATATTGTACTGGGATGAGGTGCATAATTATGAAAAAAAAGGCATCTCCTTATCGTGCAACTAAAAGCTGCTGATGGCTTGCGCCATCTATCGGATTAAATATCAACTATTCTCGTTGATTTTTTATTATTCCAGAATTGGCCAAATACTTCAAATACTACAAATATCTAATAATAAAATAGCAATCCATAAATAAATCTTTAATTAAAAAGGCATAAATTGGATCAAAATATCATTTATTTTACCAATATTTCAGTTGGCTGAACGCCAGCCTTTTTCAAGGTATTATAACACATTAATATGTAGTAATATCTTGAAAAAGGCTGGCGTTCAGCCAACTGAAATATTGGTAAAATAAATAATATTTTGATCCAGATTTATTTATGGATTGTGCTCTATTTTCAAAACAATATCAACCAGCCCTTCACAAATATATTTTCCCTCCATAAAAATCAATACCTATAAATAAAGCCTCTGATATGCGACCCACGTGATAAGAGACTACCTTTGTAAAATAAACACTGAATTGAGATCTAACCTAACCTCCAGTAAGAGACTACCTCTAGGAGAGACCTGGAGAATCCAAGTTTTTAGACTACGATCTCTCACGAGTGGTTTTACCGTATTTGTTTTAATTTAATATCCACATCGAATGAATAAAATACAGCTCTTATTCCACCGTTTGTTACCATGAAATTTACTGTCCTAGAAAGAAGCAGACGAAAAGGAAGAAATAAACAAGATGGCGACATTGTGAAATCGTCGTGTGCTATATTCCCTACGCGCATGCGCAAACTCAAGTACTTGGTGACGTCACCGGGCGACAAGTGGGACAGACGACGCTGTCGCCAACACGATGATAGTGTCGCCTAATTTGACACCTTTTGTCACTTTAGCTCTTGGATACAAATTCTTTTTTCATCAAGGCTAATTTTATGTATTTTCTCAATATTTACTTTTAATACATTAAAACCCTGACTTACGTGAATTAAGAATTATGCAGTTTTCTGCGTTTGATTTTCAGCATTGGACGCGAACTCAACATGCCTGATCATTATCCTAGGATCGTTGCAAAATATTTAAAAATTTCCTAAAAAATAACTGTCATTTTCAAAGACATTTCAAATTATTTTATTGCATCATAATCGAGAAAAATTGGGACAAGATACTAAAATATCTTCAGTTTATGATGCTTTAAAAGAATTTTATCGATAAAAATAAAAATATGCAACAATAGAAACAAGAATTTTTATTAAGATATTTCGATTTACGTACAAAGAATCGTTCCGTATATATTCCAAGGAAAAAAACGATAGTATTGTCAAATTATATTGACAAACATTTTCAGTTTTTTTTTTTTTCTGATCAGGTTTTAGAGGGAAGAATGTTGTCTTCGTTTGTTGGTGAACCAATCTCTCACGTCTTCTCATTGGACGAATGTGGCCATGTCTGTATATAAAAGGGGACTAAGGGAATGCGAGGGGGGCCAGAGCGTGGAGAATTGGTGTGAAGACGCTTAAAGTGTTTTTCTACGAGGTTTTTCCGTGTCTGGCTGTTCTCTTCGCATCCCTGTGTGACCCGAGTCCGATCCCTGCCAACGCTACAATAAAGCTAAGTACTGTTTTATTTTATTTAACAAATCGTGAGTTGTTTTTATCTCCTTTTTGTTGTTAGTGTTGTACTCTTGAGTGCACCTTTTTCTGTGGTTAGGTTACTTTTAATTTAGGCCCTGGGTTATTCAATTTTTTTTGTTTGTTAACCGGCAAAAGTATTAACTTTTGTCATTGGCGAGCCCTGCCAGGATTACTGGTGCTTGCACGTGTAAATTCCTGTAATTTTTATGTGCGTTTTTATTTTCTTTGATTGAGTGGTTTATTATTTTTATTATTATTATTGTACTCCATCATGTTTGTGAACTCAATGTTCAACTTGTCAGTGTTTAATGGGGTTGGTCTCGAGTCTTTCATTCGGGAAGTCGAGCTTAAAGCTCGAGTAGGCAAATGGGATCCTGAGGTCAAGGCAATGCTTATGTTCGAGGCTCTATCCCCTGAAGTTAGGTTGGGCTT